GGCGCGCGCTCACCATCGTCTCCTTCTACGAGGCCGTCTACTTCCTCGGCTGTGGCTTCGACGTGTCCAGGTGCTGGCCGGGTTGCGCCAGATGCCGCGGGGGGGCTTGAGAAGACATGTGCCAAAACCCAGAGGGTTGCGTCAGCGGGTGGAGGCCAGCATGACAAAACTTTGGCCTTCTTCTTCCCCTTGGCAGATGGAGCAGCGCGTAGATCGGCACTGGGCGATCCTGATCTGGACCCTTCCTCTCAATTGGATCACATCCAGCCCGAGGTTGCTGGGCCCTTTGATGTTTCATTCAATGCGCCCCTCGCGACCGACGATGTGGAAGTTGCACCTGCAGGCGTGGCAGTTCGGCCAGGAAGTTACGCGCGAGGGCAGCGCGCGTCGCAGCACTCGTCCACGGCTTCCCCGAGGAAGGCAGAGCCAACTGGCCGCGCCATCGCCTCATCAGGGCAACGCGGACTTCTCTCTATTGAGGAGGGGAACGGGCTCCCGACTGTTCAGGGAGACGGTGCTGAGTGCGCAGGGTTTCCCGCGCCTGCCGTCGTCGCACCTGGTGCGGCAAGCGGTCAGCCCCCGTTGTCCCCCTCTATTCAGGTGCGCGCAGGCTTGGTCCAGCCTGAGTCTCTGAAAGGCGCCGACGCGGACCCTGAGAACCCTGGCCCCCCCCCCCCAGGGGCCTCGGCGGAGGGCGCGCGCTCGCCGCCGTCTCCTACTACGAGGCCGTCTACTTCGACGGCTACGATTTCGACGAGTTCAGGTGTCGAACGGGATGCGCCAGATGCTGTGGAGGGGCCTGGGAAGCCATGCACCAAAACCCAGAGCTGTGCGTCAGCGGGCGGAGGCCGTCATGAGCAACTTAGGTAGGTCACCTTCTGTGGCAGAAGGTGCAGTCTTCAGATCCGCGCTGGACGATCCTGACGTGGGCCCTTTCTCGCAGTTGGGTTGCAGCCAGCCGGGCGCTGATGGGGCACCTGAAGGCGATGGGCGGCATCCTTCAGCGGAGATGCCGCGCAGGCGCGAACCAGCACACGCCCCTTCCAAGACCCCAGCGGCGAAGGCCAAGCTCGCCAAGAACCAGGCGCTGGTCACCATCAACACCGCGTCGCATGGGCCCATGATTGACTACCTCGCGTGTGCGACGGAGTGGGTCATCGCCATCCAGGAGCGGCACATCCCGCCTGATTTGCTAGCAGACAAGCCACATGCTGTACTTGACACTGGATATCGTGGCCTATGGGCCCCAGCTGTTCCCAGTGATCCAGGTGGAACAGGGACCACTGGTGGAGTTGCTGTGGTTGTGCCTTCCTATGTTGGTTTCTGCGCTCCGCCAGGAGACTCGCATATCATCATCCATGGTTGGGCAGCGGCCTGTCACATCAATCGGGGAGTCCCTGGTGGCATGGTGGTTCTATCCATCCACCTCAAAGACGGTGAAGGCCTGAGAGCTCGCACCATTGATCTGTATTGGACAATTGTGCTGTATGTGTGCCTTTAATATTCCAAGCAGATATCATGGACTATGGGAGGAGACTGGGGCAGGGACAGAGATACCTTGTGCCAATCAAACTGGGTCAATGCCGTCAATGCTGTGACCCACGCACCTACTACCACTACGTGCAGACAGACCCTGCCAGGCACATGCATCGATTATTTTGTCGTCTCCGTCTCGCTCTCCCAGTTCCTTGGCAGGGAGGTCAGCGCGGACGAGACTGCGGCAACCTTCCCACATCTTCCTGTACTCTTGCCTTTCTTGGCCAAGCCAGTCACGATGTGGGCGAAGGTGCCGTGTGAAAGGAGAGCGGTCCCTGCTATGCCTCCCACTGGGTGGGCTCGGCCTCCAGCGTACCCGTGGCAAGCCGCGGTTGAGGTTGCAGGTCCGCGGGTGAATGATAGGCACAGCTTGGTAGGCTTTCGGGGCCTCGTCTCTGAGGGCATCGATTTTGAGTGTCTGTATCTTTGGGACCACGTGGGGCCCACGGCTGAGGCCCACATAGGACTGTCTGAGGCCCCCACCACTAAGTGGAAGAAACTCGCCTGGGCTCCTCCTAGGCGGCGCTCCTATCGCAACGGCACCACGAATGCGTGGGCCACGGCCCTCAGATGGGCCACGCATCTCGGGGAAGCCCGCAAGTTTCTGTCCGAAGAAATGCAGCGCCTCGAGATGCGCGCTGCTATGTGTGATGTGTTCCCGTCGCAATGCACCGAGCTAGTTCAGGCGTTTCAAGAGCTCGCTAATTTCCTGGCCTCGGTTGCGAAAAGTAAAACAGGTACTCGAGCAGCTGGAACAGCCAGTGGCCGAGTTTTTCTGCTGGGGATTGCCGGTGCCGGTGCGTCCTGACTTCCCTTGCATGCTCACGCATATGTATGCTGCCGCCAAGGCCAGGATCCAATGGATTACAACTGCCGCTCGAAAAGCTTGGTTGGAATGGGCTCGTGAGAGCTTTGCGCATGGAGCCTCATTGGCTCATCGTTTTTCGCGGGCTCGGGCCGCCCAGGAGATTTTACGCGTTGGTTCTGACACCCAGCCCCACGCGCCGGTGGCAGCTGAGCTGGAGCCTTGGAAGTAGGTCTGGTTGACCCATGGCTGCTCCGCTCAGTCACTACCCGGGGAGGCCCAGAGTTGGCCCAGTTTGTCGCCCATCCAGCCCTGCCAAATTCGTGAGGTCGTCAAGAGGTACCGTGCTAGGACCCCTGCTGGCACTACCAAGATAGCACCGAGGGCGCTGATACATATTCCCGATGGGGGCTGTGAGGCCCTCGCCATGGCGTTTAACAAATGCGAAGACCTTCTCTTTTGGCCTAGCGAGAGGTTCTGGACTGAGTTGGTGGGGCTGGCCAAACCAGAAGGAGGCACGAGGCTAATAGCGCCAATTAAAACGTTTTGCAGGATCTGGGGCAAGATCCGTCAATCCATGACTTCAGACTGGCAGGCAGCGCGCGGCTGCCTCGAGATCTGGGGCACTCGCCGAGGCTGCAGCAGTTCCGATAGTGCCTTCGCGTGCAACCTCAGCTCCGAGGCAGCCACTCTAGTTGGAGATATTTCAAGTTCTGTGCTGCTCGACATGACAAACTATTTCGAGATGATTCTGCCCTCCCAGATTTTGAGGGAGGCCAAGGAGCTTAATTTTCCCTTGAGGCTAGCCTGGATGCTGGCCCAGCTTTACGCGATTCCTCGTAGGCTGCGTGCGTTCGGCAGCGTGACGGACCTTTTCACGACATTCCAGGGCGTTCTCGCGGGCTGCTCGCACGCGACAGGCATTCTCGACTTGCTCACCTTCAGGGCGCCCAAGCGTCTCTCACAAGTGGCACCGTGCATCACGCCCAGGGCCTACGTGGACGATGCATCCATCCAGCTAGTCACCAGCGACAGGTCAGAAGTTCGATGGCTGGAGCGGGCGGTCAGTGCGTGCACACATGACGCTGCAGAGCTCGGCCTCCTCTCGCCGCCCAAGAAGTCAGGCATCGCCACGGCCGCCCGGCGTGGACGGCGCTATTTCGTCAAGCGGGCCGCCGCGCGGCGGCTGCAGTTTCGCCCGTGGGCGCGGAACCTTGGGCATGACCTTGCAGTAAGTAAAGTCGTCGGGCATCAGGAGGAGGCGCGTCTCCGAGCTCTGCAGGCACGGAAGAAGAAATTCCTCGCCCTGAAGGGAGCAGTTGGGCGCAAGGCGCCCAGGTTGGTCAGAGCAGGCGCCATGCCAGCTGCGGCGCGCGGAGCAGGCGCGACAGGCGCCTCGGACACGGCACTCAGATATTTCAGGCAGTTCGCAGCCACCATGGCTGGTGGCAAGCCGCACGGTGGAGTGACGGCGTATATGGTCATGAACCCAGACCCCTACTACGATCCTGTTTATGACTGCGCCTTCCTCATCACAGTGCCAAAGGACCACTATCATGTATGTGGCTGGCTCTTTTTACGGATCAATTGGGACATGTGCAATGTCCACATCTTCGTCACGGACCTTGGCGAGCTCGATCAGGGCTCCCGCGAACCAGGGGGGTTCTCCGTGGCACCTTCACAATAGATGGTCGATGAGGGCTCCCGGGAACCAGGGGGGTCCTCCGTGGCACCTTCATAATAGATGGTCGATAAGGGCTCCCGGGAACCAGGGGGGTCCTCCGTGGCCCCTTCAGAATAGATGGTCGATAAGGGCTCCCCGGATACAAGGAGGTCCTCCGTGGCCCCTTCATAATGAATGGTCGATAAGGGCTCCCGGGAACCAGGGGAGTCCTTCGTGGCCCCTTTTTATAATAGATGGTCGATAACGGCTCCCGGCAAAAGGGGGGGTCCTCCGTGGCCCCTTCATAATAGATGGTCGATAAGGGCTCCCGGGAACCAGGGGGGTCCTCCGTGGCCGCCAGCCTGCTGCGCACGCCGCCATACGACGCGAAGCTCGCGCGCATAGGGGGCCTCCAGCGGTGGCAGCATAGGCGGCTCCTGTCCCATGCTTCGGCATCAGACGGCAGTGAGCAGATCTGGCATCGTGCGCTGAGGAATGGAGTTGAATCAATTAAGTGCCCAGGGCAGATAGCTGCCTTGGCAGCCGTGTGGGCTAACGTCATCCCGCTCCCCGCTGCGAAGGCAGCGCAAGGATACATTGTCTCACCTCATTGTCGGGTATGTTTGCACCCGAACGGGACCTACGGCCACATCTGGTACCAGTGCCAGGGGCTCAGAGCCGAAAGGTGGGCGGAGCGGCAGGCTTTGTTTCAGAATTCGTGCGCGGAACTCATCGCGTCTGATTTGCAGGCCACGGTGAGAGAAGGGAACTCTTGGAGTCCCGAGGCTGCCAGAGGCTGTTCCAAGCATGCTGCGATTTGGATTGGTATCTACCGAATTTGTGAGGAAGCCCCGCGTTGTTTCTGGCAGCCAGCTCACCTCTCTCTAGACGAGGTTCTGGACAAAAGGGTCGAGCCTGCGTTTTTGGGCTGGCAACCTGTGGGCTGATTTCTTCGCTAGGCTAGGAGCGGCGTCCCATTCCTATTCGGAAGGATTATTACAGGCCTTGGCGGGGGAATTCAAATACCACAAATCACCGCTAATTGTTTTAGCTTGGGTCTCCCTGGAGCTGCAAAAGAGCGGCGAGTGGACGGGTGGTCTGCCCGAGAAGTTGCGTTTGGCGGAGTTATGTTACGCGGTCCCCAAGGTGCAGATCACCCGTCACTGTCTCTGGAGGTCTCAGGTCAGAGGTGAGTGGAGGTGCAAGCACTGTGGCCGATTTGCTCGCACCCCCGCCTCCCTCAAGGCCCTTTTCACAAATAGGCTGACTCGAGATTGTAACCCAGCGGCTCTCCAGAGGACGGCCACCACGGAGCGGTTCCTAGCGCACGGGTCTTCTTTTGTTGTGGTGCGGAGCAAAGCTGTGAGAGTTGCGTGCGAAGCTGCAGCGAAACTCGCCCCCAACCCTGATGCCCTCGAGTGTCTGGAGGCGGGGCCCCCTGTGCCCGTCGGTGACCCTTTGGAGCCCATGCGGGACCTCGGTCATGACCCTTTTAAGGTTGGGCCCCTTTTTGTGTGTCGACGGTGCTGTGCCCATGGGGTCCCCGCCCGTTGCAGGAACCTGGTGCGACATTGTGAGGGGCCGAGTCCAGTGGTCTCCACCCTTGCGAAGCAACGCATGGGTTTACGGAGAGCGGAGCGCGGGCTCCATCCTACGACGGGCGCGAACCTCCTCGGCTGCGAGGGCGCGCCCGATAACCGTGCTTCCGCGTCTTCGGACGCCGCCTGTCCTGGGGCTGGGCGCGGAGGTCATCGCGCCATTTCATCCTCCCCGGCGGTGTTTCCCCGCGTGACCCCCTCCCGAGGGGCTGAGGACAGTTCTGACTAATGTTTGCTTGGCCCCTGCCCCCCCGTCGCGTCGTCGCCCGCGCCCGCCGCCCGCATGCGCCCACGTCTACATCGGCGTGTCGGCGCTCGGCGCGTGGGCGCCGCGAGCCGCGGGAAGAGGCGGGGCCCCCTTTCTTCCTTTCCTTCCCCTGTCACACATGTGCCCTGCGGGGGCTATCTCTTGAACTGGACCCACCACTCTGGAGTCATCCCTTGTGGTGGGCGCTATGGTACGCCATCCCTCCTCCTCCTCCTCCTCCTTCTCCTCCTCCTCCTCCTCCTCCTCCCCCCCCTCCTCCTCCTCCTCCTCCTCCTCCTCCTCCTCCGACCGAGGTCCGACGTCGCCGGAGACCAAACCATAACGCACCCCAGGAGATCCGACGTTGCCACAAAAACTGCAATAGCGCAGGAAATCGCGCCTGGGGCCCCGGACCCCGTCTTTCCCCAAACATGATCGCGTCGTAAAAAATGCAGGACGAATGTTTTTCGTCGTTTTCGGCCTCTCGAGGACCTCGCCGGGCCCCGGGACTGTCAAAAAATGGGTCCGGATGACAAACTGGCCCCAGGGAAAGCGACGCCTGGTTTTCCGGGGACGCCGCCCTGACAAAATCCGGACGTCGAGCGGTCGAATGTCTGGGTCCCCAGACCCCCGACGTAGTGATTTTTTCATTACGTCGACCCCCAGAGGTCCCGACCCTTTCCCCATGACCGGCTTTGCATCCTGAGTCGTTATTTGACGCTCCCGAGGCCCGGCGAGGGCCGCCGGAGGCCGAAAATTAGGAAAAGCCTCCCGTCATGATTTTTTCATTACCCGAGGGGGTCTGGGTCTGCGTCCTTTTTCGAGCCGCGTCTACCTGCGAGGGCCCCGGGCCGCCCCCGGGGCCCGAAAGTGGGGCGGAAACGCCCGGCGCGAAAAAATTGCAGCGCCAGGATCTCCGGGTCGCGGCGCACCCCTGACTCCGGATCCGCCCTATTTTGGGGAAATTCGTAAATAGGGCTTGGAATTTCCGCCTTACTTTTCAAGCCCCGCTGATGCCAATTTCCGCCCTACTTTTCTGTTGCTGTTTCTGTGGATTTCCGCCCTATTTTATGCTGGGTGCAGCAATTTCCGCCCTACTTTTTCGGCCTCTGATAGGTGGATTTCCGACGCAATTTTAAGTTGGAAAAAAGCCAAAGTAGGGCGGATCCGGAGTTGAGGACCACGACCGGCGGCCGGCGGCCCCATCTTCCTGCGCGCGGGATCGATGTGCGCTGGCCCCGTGGCCCAGGAAACCGCGCGAGAGCACCCGGCGTGGAGTGGCATTCGATCGGGCCTGCCCCTCTACAGGAGGAATGTTCGGACATCGTCAAACCATTCGACCGGGGACGATTTCTCTAGCATGTTTTGACCTCTGTTGAACATGTGTTGACTATGTTCCCAGACCCCCGACGTAATGTTTTTTTCATTACGTCGACCCCCAGAGGTCCCGACCCTTTCCCCATGACCGGCTTTGCATCCTGCGTCGTTTTTTGGCGCTCCCGAGGCCCGGCGAGGGCCCCCGGAGGCCGAAAATTGGGAAAAACCTCCCGTCGTGATTTTTTCATTACTCGAGGGGGTCTGGGAAGTCCGCCTGCAGGGGGACATGCCCGAACTAGGAATAGCACCGCAGCGCCCCTCGCTCCGCCGGGGTCCTGGCTCTCGGGACACCCAGAGATCCGACGGCGTGATTTTTCCAGGACCGCGTCCCCCCCCCATGGCCGGTTTGTCATCCCGAGTCGTTTTTTGACGGCCCCGGGGCCCGGCGAGAGCCCCTCGAGGCCGAAATTTGCGAAAAGCCTCCGTCCGGATGTGTGCAATGCCTCGGCTCCCTGGGCACGAGCACGCCAGAGCACCTCGATCTTCGAGCCTCGAACCTCGGGGTCCTCCTCGCTCTCCTCGACCTGTCGGCGGCGACGCGCCGAGGACGACTCGGGGCCCCCGCCTTTCGAGCCTCTCGATGCCGACTCTGTGCCCGCGGAGCGGGCGTAGCCGTTGGGCGAAGGGGGACCACCTCGAAGTCCTCCTCCTCCTCCTCCTCCTCCTCCTCCCTCCCTCCTCCTCCTCCTCCTCCTCCTCCTCCTCCTCCTCCTCCTCCTCACTCCTCCTCCTCCTCCTCCTCCTCCTCCTCCTCCTCCTCCTCCTCCTCCTCTCCTCCTCCTCACTCCTCCTCCTCCTCCTCCTCCTCCTCCTCCTCCTCCTCCTCCTGCCTCCTCCTCCTCCTCCCCCCGCTCAGAGGAAGTCGTTCAAGTGGTTGCCGAACTCGATGCGCTCGTCCACTCTGCGGTGGGCCTAGCCCCTTGCCCTGCTGGGGTGGGCTGCGCCCTGGGCCTAACCCCCCGCCCCGCTGGTGTGACGATGGTGACCCAGTCAAAGGAGTCGCTGTACGCGGCGTCCGCGAACTTCGGCCTAACCCCTCGCCCTGCTGGGGTGGACATCGCCTCGCAGGCTGCCTCGCGCCGCCGCCGTACTTGCTGTGGTAGCCCTCGGAGTCCTCCTTGAAGGAGTGGTCCTGGGACTGGTCGCGGTGCCTTCCTCGGTCTCGCGCTGGCCGTAGGCGTCGTCGTGCTCGGACGCGTCGCCCTCGTCCGCCGCGGGCTCGGGAAGGCGGAAGCGCACCGTCTTCGAGTGGTGTTTCTTCTTGGGGAAGTGGTCGCGGTTGTCTGTCAGCTCCTCATTCTTGAGCAGCGGAGCCCAGCGCGGGTCCGCAGCGAGCGTTGCCCTGGGGTCCTCCGTGAGCCAGTCCGCCATCTCTTCGCAGTTGAGGCTGCAGCATGCCTCCGCTGCCACCTCCTCCGAGCAGTCGCCTTGCACGGCGTAGCGCAGGAAGTTCGCGTAGGCGGCCAACTCGGCAATCGTTGTGTCCTCGTAGGTGTTGCGCTGGGCCTGAGGGAGCTGCGCGTACGCCGCGGATGCTCCCATCGATTGTGCTGTGCCCCAGCGCGCTCGCAGGGCTGCCAGTTCCTCCTCGTTCTTGTTGGTCGCCTCCTCCATCTCGTCCTCGAGGTCCTCCTCAAAGACTCGCCACGGGCTTCGGATTGTCGGCGGGATTCGGCTTCGCTCCCAGAATGCCCTGTCGATCTCGAGAGCCTTGCCGCCTGTGCCCTCCGCGGTGTAGTAGTCGGTGGGCACGTGGTGCTCCTCGAGCTCCCCTAGCTGCGCCTCGCAGTCCGCGCCGCTGTCTTCCGCGTCCTCCTGCTCGTACTCTTCGTGGCTCTCCTCTCTGATGTCCATGGTATCGGGCGGCCCGTTTAGGGGGGGCCAGTCCCGCCGTGGACTCAGTGTTTTTGTGGCCCTTAGTATGACGAGGTCATTGGCGTGCGGGATCTCGTTCATGTTGTCTGGCTCGACCAAGGCTTCCTGGTCGCTCAGCGCGTGATTTTCCTCGTCTGGATCCTCCTTCGAATCCCCCTTCTGGTCGTCTGGATCCTCCTTCTGGTCATCTGGGTCCTTCTGGTTGTGCTTGCGGTCGCTGTTGCGGCGCGCCGTGGCTGCGCGCGCGGCCTCCGCCGCTGCCGCGTGCAGCAGGGCCGCCGTGGGGTAAGCGACGGCGGGCCGGGAACTGCCGTCGCCGCCGAAGTCGCCGAAGTCGCAGTGCTCCTCGAAGTCGTAGCTGTCGTAGCCGTCGTTGCCGTGGTAGTCCGAGGATACACTGGGGACGAGCGGCGGCAGCTGCAGTGGCGGGATCTCTATGACGATGTACTCGTGGGCGACCTGCTCCGCTGCCTCAGGTGGGCCCGCGCACGCGGGGGGTGCAGACTCCTCGGATTCCTCGGCCACGGCGGACAACACGGCGTGCTGAGCGTCGTCGCGCTGCGAGCTGCCTGCACAGGCCCTCCCGAGTGGCGGACCGCGCTGGGCGACCCGCCAAGCCGCCGCGGGCGCCCCGTCAGGAGGCAGCTGGCGGGCGTGCGGTGCGCAGTTTCGCACAAGCACGCGCTCCGCTGAGGCCGTCGCGCCCTGGACTCCGGCGGCGAGGGCAGGCCTCGCAGGTCGTTCCCTCCTGCTGACGTCGTCGGCGAGAGAGGCCAGCCGCCCTCCCTCCAGATCGGGCTCGCCGCGTGCTCCGTGCAGGCAGCGCCAGAGTGCACGCTCGCATGCCTCGCGGCCACGCCGCCTGGCGAGCCGCCTCGCCGCTGAGCGCCCGAGGTTGGTGTCGTCCTCGGCGCGCATGGGCCGCACCGCCAGCCAGCGGCGGCCCCCCGCAGCCATGCCGTGTGCCCGCGCCGCCATGTCAAGCCTGGATGAGCCAAGATGGTTGGGGCGCGCGTCGCGGCTTGAGCCAAAATGGCAACGGACCGGGGCCCCCACCTCTCGTCCTCCTCCTCCTCCTCCTGCTCCTCCTCCCCCCCTCCTCCTGCTCCTCCTCCTCCTCCTCCTCCTCCTCCTCCTCCTCCTCCTCCTCCTCCTCCTCCTCCTCCCCCTGCTCCTGCTCCTCCTCCTCATCCTCGACCTGCTCCTCCTCCTCCTTCTCCTCCCCCTCCTCGTCCTCCTCCTCCACCTCTCGAAGAAGAAAGAGCGACATAAGCATAGACTCTCGACGGTTCGCCCGGACTTCTGCGATCCGCGCTGGAGCGCCTTGTGGCGGCGCCTCTGGCGCCGCCACAAGGCGCGCTCCGCGCACCGGGCAGCGGGGGTCCAGCGCAGATCCAAGGAATCCGCGCGGACCGTCGAAAGTTTGTGTTTGTGCGGGTCTTTCTTTTTCTAATCTCGACCCCGGGAGGTCCAGGGCAAGGCTCGCGTGGCACTCCGCGGGAAGAAGAGGATGATGATGGGGATGACGATCAGGATGAGGATGATAATGATGATGGTGATGCTGGTGATGATGATGATGATGATGATGATGATGATGACGATGACGATGACCGATGACGATGACGATGATGAGGATGACGATGACGAGGACGATGACGATGATGATGATGGACGATGATGATGATGATGATTGATGAATGATGATATGGATGATGATGTTGATGTTGATGTTGATGTTGATGATGATGTCTGTGTGATGATGTGATGATGGTGATGATATGGTGATGGTGATGGTGATGTGGTGGTTGTGTTGATCTGATGAAATGATGCTGATGATGAATGTATGAGCTGATGATGCTTGATGATGCTGATGCTGATGCTGATGATGTTGATGATGATGATGAAGGATATGATATGAATGATGATGATGAGATGATGATGATGAGGAGGATGAGGAAGGGAGGGAGGAGGAGGGGGGAGGAGGAGGGAGGGGATATGTGTGATTTCACGGTTTTCATTTGTGCATTTCCGCCGCCGTTTGGGTGCTCAAGGCGCAAAGGCCTGCTCAGGTGCCGGATGTTCCCACCGTGGCTGGGGCGGGTGGTGGATGTGGCCTGCGCTGGGGTAGTCAGCTACCTGGTGGGCTGCAACGTGAGCTTGGTGTGTCCGAGCATTCCTCCCTGCCCAGGGTTGCCGACGGTGCTGGGAGGACCCCAGTGGAGGCAGGCTGCCCCAGCGCCGTCACCTCCGGGGGGCTGCCCCACAGTCGAGGCGTGCCCGAGTGAGCAGGCTTGCGCAGGCAGCGGGCTGGGCTTCTCCCTCTTTGTCGTGGGCCTGATCGTCGGGGCCGCGGCTACGAGTGTGGTGTCCGTTGCTGCGAGAGGAGGTTCTCGAGTCAGTTCGCGCCGCCGCGTTCTTAGCTTGAGCTTCGACGCAGGACAAAATGGCGACCACCCAGTGGGTATACGTCTGGCACGCTGGCGAGAACAGGTGGCATCAACACCTGCATCTGGGCCGCGTCGCTTTGCGCAGGAGCGACCACGTCATCTACACCGCGGGCGCCGACCTGTAGATCACCTCGTTGTCGGACAACCCAGACATTCAGGCCGCGAGGTTCGGGACGTATGCGGTCCCGCCCATCGGCGTTCGGCGCGCCGACATCTACGCCTGTCGAGCTGAGCCCACCCAGGCGGAGATCCGTCTGCTGGCGGCCGAGGCTGAGGAAGTCGCGGGCCAGGGGCGTCGGCGGAGGGCGGAGCTCATCGGCGACCTGAAGGTGCTGCGCGGGCTGAAGGTGCTGGTGCCCCCCGGCGGCGCCGGGGTCGCAGGCCCAGCGGCGCCGCCCCCCGGCCCCGCGGCGGGGCTGCTGCGCGGGCGGCCACGGCAGGCTGGAGCCGCAGCGGCGGCCGCGAGAGCGGCTGGCGAGGCGGACCCGGCCGATGGGGGCCTGGCGAGGGGCGGTGTGCCGTGGCCAACTTTTTTTCAGGTTCGCTGCTTCTCTTGGCTGGTGCTAGCTTTCGCCGCAATCAGCGGCTCATCAGGCTTGAGCCTAAATTGGCTCTGGATTCGCACTCTGCCTGCAAGGAGGAAAGACTGGTCTACTCTGTAAGAAAGGTTTTTTGATGGCAGATCTGCCTTCAAAAAATTCCCACCCGCCTCAGCCCGCGGCAAAGTTGCTGCGAAATGTACGTATGAAGTTGATGAGGTTGTCGAGCACGTCCCGACGGCGTCGCGAGGCGGAGATTAGGACATCCACGTGTTGCCGTCGGGGGAGGGCCTCCTCGTAGAGTACGTGGCGGTGGTCAGCCTCCCTGGTTTCCTCCAGCGCGCGGAGGCAGCCAGCGCCAGCATCCCCCCCGTCACCCGGAGCAAGAGGGGGAGGAGGGAGTTCACTTGGTCGGCGATGGTGGAGCTCACTCGGCGGGGGGAGTTCGACGCAGCTGATTGAGCTTGCCAGGTCCGCGGACGGCGCGGCGGTGCATGGAGTATCTATCCTGAGCGAGGGCACGGGGTCGAGGGCCATCACGAGCACTTCCGCTCGATCTGCAAGTTGGCCGCGTCGGATTGGGGGGTGCAGGAGCATTTCCAGTTGACGTTGCAGATCAAGCAGGCCCTGTGTGCAGACATGCTCGACGGGACCAACCTTGTGTCGATCGAGACAAAGTTTCGGAGGATGTAGACCGTAGAGTTCGCCCACTGGGACAAGGCCAAGGACCAGGAGAGCAAAGGGATCGGGCGGGGCTCACCTTGGAGGAGCAGGCCGCTTCA